AAACCCACCCCACCCTTACCCCCCACGTGAAGAGCAATTTTAATTTGGAAAAAAATTTGTGGTTACTAACCACGGTAATTTAATAATATTTATTTAATATGTTGATTTTAATATAAATTTTTAATTGCCGTATCCATGACGTATCGTATCCTAGTTTTTGAAAATTTGCCGTATTCCCGTATCGTGTCGTATCGTATCGCCGTATCCGTATCCGTGTCCGTGCTTCTTAGCTGAATACTCAAGAGTCATTAGAGAAAGATCAAGGTATGTCAAAGAAGGCATGCCTGAAAATTCAGACCAGTCAAGAGTTTCGAAGAAGAAGTTGTTTCCTCCAAGAATCAAAAACTGTACCTTTTGGAGATTGCTAAGCTGATAGGGAATAGTACCACTAAGACCGTTGCCGTAGAAACTCAGATACTTGAGCTCTGTTAACTTGCCTATCTCCACAGGTATTTCTTGTTCAAAGTAGTTGTGGCCCAAGTCCAAAGTTGTGAGCTTGGAGAGGTTTCGAATGGCTGATGGTATAGGTCCTTTGAAATAGTTGCCAGATAGGTTGAATTGGGTGAGATTGGGAAATGGGGTGAAGTTGAAATGGGATAGTGTTGCAGAGATGTCGAAGTTGGAGAGGTCAATTTGGGAAACTTGTTTGCTGCTCTGGTCACAAACAATGGCAGTCCAGTTGCAAAGATTGTTGAGGTTAGTGAGAGACCATGAAGTGAGAGAAGGTGGTGCAGAATGGTGTTCTTCCAACTTAGCAAAGCTTCTGCCTGTGTTTTTGGTGATGAAATGGCCTTGAATGGAAGCAAAGCAAGCAGGAAAATATGAAGGAGAAGAAGAAGATAAGTAGGGTTCTGAGCAGAGAAAACTCGTCCTTCCATGGTGGTTTGAGGAGTTAATGTTATGTTCCAAGCTTTATAGAAGGTTGATTCTTATTGTTATCATTTTCGTTCTTAAAATTCACTTGTAATTTGCATTATTTTTATTTATTTATTTTTGGTTGAAAGCTTTATTTTAATTTAGGCTTTTTATCACAAATGGTCCTTGACGTTTACGAAATTATCACGAATGGTCCTTGCCATCAAAAATTCTGTTAAGTGTATGATGTGGAAGATAAGTGGAGCCCACATGTACAATCACATCGTGACATGTGGATTAAATAAATAAATAAATTTTTTTTTTTATGAAAATCCATTAAAAAACCATTTAG